TGGGAAAAAATGAGAATATTGCCAAACCGCTAAATGTTAATTAGTTAAAGATCCCAAACTACACAACAACCAATCGTAAATGCGCCCACTACTCCTACACAAACACACATAAGCACTCTCAAACAGACTCACACATCCACTCTAATATACATATACAGACTTTTTTCACTTTTTTATTTGTACTTCCAACTCACACCAATTCCAATTTTAGGCGTGCATTACATTATATATCATATATATACATAGATATGTAGATGCCCTTATGTGCATTTTACATAACATTTTATATATAATTCAAATGCAAAAAAATTCTCTTCGTCCATATGCAAAAACAAATATTTAGCTAGAGAAAAAAGCAAAAAAATGCAATGCAAAGGTGGAGGTTATGTACACTTACGAGCCATAGGTGGGATGTGTGGGGAACGTCCTAATAGAGGGAAGCCTTTAATAGTTAACGGGCTAAATTTATGAAATCACTGCAAGTCTAAAGTGTCATTAATTGTGTTCGGATCGCTGCATTTTATCAAAGTATCATGTGTGTCATGGAGTGATGCTCTTGTGAATATAATAGAGGACTCATTTATTTAATGCGTTTCATCTATAGGTATAAATTTGCAATTGAGTTTTATAGACAAATAGAAATACGAGATGAATAGCTGGTTAATTGAAAATTAAATATTGTATTAAAGGAGAATAGTTTCAACTCTATTCATTAATTCTTTGAAATGCTAAAGGTTCTTCAAGTTCAACTTATTCTTGTGCTATTGTCTGCGGGCATTAATAACTATTTGTAGGAAATATAAATTGGTTATGGGAATTTTCCTATCCCTATTAATAAATTAATTAATAAAACCACTTGCAAAGCTTAGTTTCATTTCAATGATATCTTATTAGTTCGAAGTACTAGCTGCCACTTATTATTTGATAAATTTTACATTCCATTTATGAAGATGATTTTTCAAGTTAAAGTCCTGTGTTAAACATACATTTAGAGGTATTAGATTTTTATTTAAGATATGTTCTTAATGCCCCTTCCTTTGTTTATTTACATTCATTTCTTCTATCAAGATTGGTTTCACCTTATGTCTTCTAGAATATTTTCTTAACATACAAAGACCAAATTGCATGCGATCAACAATATTCCTCATTTTTTCTCCTTTCACATTAATCTCATCCAATCAAAATATTTCTGAAACATATTGCTTAGAAAAAGCTGTGCCAGATATTTCAAAAATGTAGTATTAAATAGTATTAATTTATGGTCAAAAAGTTCTGATGATTCAATTATAATTTTCACTAAAATTAACTTTGAAATCTCTTCATTTTCATTATATTAGTATATCCACTAACAACAAACCAATGTTAATCATAAGTTGTACCCAGCTTTCATTAAAATTAAAAAATTAATGTAATCAATTCTATCCAGTCGCTTTTTCAGTCCCCCATTGCAATCTTTATTTAATTACAATTATAATAAATTAAAATAATTAAAGAAAGCAAAAAAAAAAAAACATTTTTTAAGTAAAATATTCTTGAAAACTCTTGCAACACCCATGGCATCTAGATTCTGATCAATTTGCATTTAACCCAAGTTTTCCTTAAGTCTTATATTTTACAAAGTTTTAGGCTTACGAAATCTTTTAAACGATGATTTTATATCACCAGAACGGAATTGGAAATGAATTATCGGCATTTGTAAAAAGTTTTTTTTTTTTAAGTATACAGTAAAGCTCATAACTCTGCAGATATTCAAATGAGGATCTTCTCAAACTAATCGCTGTTTTCAGTTTAATTTACAAATATAAATTTATTTTTTTTATTTATCAAACTATGTGGAGCTTATCAAATTTGAAGGAAAGGATTTCACTTCGAAAACTGATAAAACACTTAGTATGTATAATCCACCCATTCAAAATCAAGTTGAAGAAGATCATTGCATTATAAATGATTCATTATCTACTATTAGTTCTATTACGGGAATTATATACCATCCCATTTTATTTAATTTCTTCTCGTTCTCACTGATTAATTATTGAATAATTAAGTTAATTTAATTGGAATTTTTTCTTCTTTCCACAACTACACAATCAGCTAAGCTAGAAGGTGTAATTATTAGGTCTCCTTTACACTTCCTTAGAGGTGAGATTTTTAATTGCAATACATTCGCAATGTCTTCCAAAAGAGCCAAAATATTAAATATGAATGGCTGCCATGACAACCAATCTGTGTCACTTGCGACAATATTTGCAAATATTTTCATATTTCAGACATCTGTATATGTAAAATCTAACATTCAAGGTCAGTGTCGATATCAAACTGACAGCGACGAAAACAAAAAATGCAAAATTCTATATTTTTTCTCTAAACACAAAAACAATGGCACCAACCAAAATAAAAAAAACAAAAATAAAAAATATGCACATATCTAAATCAACGTTGACATAGAAAATATTTATATGTATATAGAAGGAAAACAAAAACAACGAACTGTGTTGAAATGTGCAACAAATGAATGAATAATTCACAGCGCTTAGAACTAGACAGGAAGCGGTGCGCAAGGGGCACTAAGAGTGGGAGTGGGAGTGAGAAAGAAAGTAATAGAGAGAGTGTGTCAGAAATGATGAAAATGGATGGAGGGGGAAATAAACATTGAGGACTTTCACCTGACAAATGCGGACGATGTCTGTGCCGTGTCTGCGCTTCAATGACTTACCAGAAATAAAAAAAAATCGGCTGCAAACATACAAAAACACACATATATGTATATATAGTTCAACAGACAGGCGGTGGAACGTGCAAACATTTATATATACAAACAGCGGATTTTCTATAGAAAAAATTCTAATCGAAGCATCACGTTTTATACATTTTTCCCCCTTCTTTTGCACCGTTCGAGGCTATCGAGAGTTTGCTTTTATTTGGCCGCAGAAAAAAAAAGGAAAAGAAAGAAATGAAAAAAGGAAGGCGCATAGAAAATAGTCGAATTGAAAAACGCGTTGTCGTTGCCGACGAATAAAATCTGAAAAATCAAATGCGTGGCAACAAAAAATATATCCGCTGCATAAAAGCCGTGCAGAAAAAATGACGGGCGGCCGCCATGGCGAAGCAATTGAAAATGCAAAATTCAAAACATGAAGAAAAAATCAGTTTGACGCCACAACAAAAAGTGGCGTTAGATTTAGTCCAATTACAACAACAAAAACAATATATAGAAAGCAGTTGAAAACAACAACAACAGCAACAACAAGACGAATAGAGTTGGGTCGAGTTGGCTGTGCGGCGAGTTGAAACCAAAACGTTTTTGCGGTCCTGTCTCGCAATTTTTTTCTCTTCTCGTGCATTTTTTTTCTTAAATTTTTTCCTTCTGTTTTGCGTATTGACTTCACAATTGCGGCAGAATGTCAACAAACCGCTAAATATGCAACACTTTTCACTCTATATACCACTTTTCATTTGTTGCTGGCTCCACTTTATAATCCTTTTGGGGTAACTTACCTAAAGCAAATAAATGTTGAACTTAAGATGCGCTAATTTTAAAGACATGCAAGTTAAAAGCAGATGAGACGTAGATTTACGAGGGTACTATAGCCGGCTCTTCTCTCTTTTCCTTTTCTTAATTCTATCATTTTATTTGCATTGATAAGGACTTTTAATCTTTTCCAAATATAGGGTATGGAGAGATAACTATTTTTGTCGATTTATTCTGCCAAAACATGTTGTTTTTCTCTCTACCAGTTCCAATGATATACCTGTTGTATGCAAATGTATATTTGCGAAGATCAAAAGACTCCCAGTGTTAATATGAGTTAAAGATTTTAAGGCTGCTTCAACAAATCGATTTCTACTCGTACATATATATTTGACACTTCTCTGCTGGGTGTTACAATTCCATATTTTGAAGTCAATTATTTTTATTAATTTATTAAGTAACAGAAGAAGAAAGCATAAATTTAATCAAGTTTTGAAGTCAATTATTATTAATTATTAAACCGTTTTCGAAAGTAACAGAAATATAAAGGATAAATTTCATCCAAGCATTGACATGGGCCAGATTTTTTTATATTAAATAGTCAATGCTAAAGGTTCCCAAATACTGAGAGCGAGATTTTTTGGCATCACTCACAATTACCGCAGTTTACATAACTCTTATCCCGATTAGAGTTGACTGAAGTATTAAATTTTAAACACAATGTTAAATATATTTTGATTTCACAAAATTCTGTTTAAAACTAAGTGATTTTTGATGGTACTTCAATATAGCCAAAACGAATTTCAAAACGAATCCCATGTTTCGCTTTTTATTGCTATTTAAAACTCAAGGTTCAACTTTAAGGTACGCAGTGTCACCGGTTCCCTTTGCTATCCTACCCTTTTCTATCTTACCCTTTTCTATCCTACCCTTTCCTATATAGCCTTTGAAAATTTTGTGGAACGTGCATTTCTTATTTGCCATGCCGAAATCTTTGCAGATTAGGATAGGAGTTACCCAAAATCAATTCTATATAGTCTATGGGCCGGATTATTGCGATATACATCCAATTGTGGCTTTTCTTGCTCGGTCCTCAGTGTTCATTTTTGAGTCCAGCTTTCTATCCATTATCAGCCCTAGATACTTGGCTGAGCTTTTCAAGGATAGCGGTATCCCCTCTAGTATACGAGTACATCTGACATTTTCTCAATCATGCCAGCTAACATTTATTTTCACACCCAAAACACAGAAAAGTGTAAATATTGTGTATACGCCGCATATGCAGATCACAGCTTTGTGACATTGAAGAACTGTGTCCAAATAAATTAACTTAACTCAAACGAATAAAATAGCCCACAGAATTTAATTAAAAAACGTGCTAAAATCGAACACATTACGTATACGCCATGTTGCTCAATTATGTTATGCACAAAAAAGCGTGAAGTGAAAGTTAAGCTTTAAATAAAAACAAGCCAAGTACATTGCGAGCTTCAATCAAAAACAAATTAAATTAAATCACAATTATAACGCCATGGAGGGACGTCTGATTGAGTATCGTCCGATTGGAGGTGGTCTCGACTACCACCACAACTCGCCGCTTATTGGCGAAATTCCGCCAGCTGGCGGTGACTACACCCATGCCGTACATCGCTCCATAGATCAGCTGCGCAACAGTCTGAACGAAAGGGTCGCTTTGGGACCACTCAGCGTCTTCTCGAACACGGCCGATTTACGCAGCTCGGTGCTGAGCTATAGCCAGCAACCGCAGCATCAGCCACAACAACCGCAGCACCAGCAGCATCCGCAACAACAGCAGCAACAACAACAGCATCAGTATCACTTGAGTGGTGGTGGCGCAGGCGCTGGAACTGAGACACAGACTCTGCCGCATGCCAAGCAGCCGAATGTTCCTGTGGCCGTGTCCAGCGTCAGCAGTCTGGATGCCGCCAATGCCAAGCATGTGAACGAGGCCGTCGTCAGCAGCTCCTCCTCGGCGGGCAGTGCACCAACCGGCTCGACACGTGGCCGTAAATCACGCATCTATCCCAATCCCAACCAGCACATCATTGTGACCAGCAATAGTGTTGATAATGGCGGCATTCGCATGCAGAATGCGGCCCTTAATGAGCGAAATCCTCAAAACCCAACAGGGACTGCAGGTCCACCTAGCACCTCGAATAGCTCCATTCCATCGTCCACCAGCTCGCCACATCATATGATCGATGTGAAGGACAGCAAGGTGATGGCTGGCAGGGGGTAGTGGGGGATTAAAAAAATATTTCCTTTAAAAAGCACGTGAATAAAAAATCAATTGTTAGGCAATGCGTTTTGTTTTTGTTAAATTATTTTTAAATGTGTGCACATTTTTAATATCTTTCAGATTACAATTTAAAAATATTTATAGTGTTTATTTTGTTTTATTGCCACTCTTCCAATTGTTTAAATATTTCCCAATCCATTTACTTTGAAAACGTAATTTGTATGTAAATTATATATGTATGTTTTAAGATTGTTCACATTTTTTTTTAATTCAATCACAACAATACTCAAGAAAGTGAAGAAGAATTGGGGACAATATTAATGAGTTACTCTTAAGCCAACAGAGCAACGACCGCTTCACATTGAAATTGAAATTTTGAATTTGAAATTATGGAAAAACTTGTTCTCATTTATATTCTCTTCCCGCACTCCTTCTGCACAGATCTTCAGCTCGAAGGCGGACCTGCAGCTGCACACCCAAATCCATATGCGGGAGGCCAAACCCTATAAATGCACGCAGTGCTCGAAGGCCTTCGCCAACTCCTCGTATCTGTCGCAGCACACTCGGATCCATTTGGGCATCAAGCCCTATCGCTGTGAGATCTGCCAGCGAAAGTTCACACAACTCTCGCACCTGCAGCAACACATACGCACCCATACGGGCGATAAACCGTATAAATGCCGACATCCGGGCTGCCAGAAGGCCTTCTCGCAGCTATCGAACCTGCAGTCGCACTCGCGCTGCCATCAGACGGACAAGCCCTTCAAGTGTAACTCGTGCTACAAATGCTTCTCGGACGAACCCTCGCTGCTGGAGCACATACCCAAGCACAAGGAGTCGAAGCACCTGAAGACGCACATCTGTCAGTATTGCGGCAAATCGTACACCCAGGAAACCTATCTCACCAAGCACATGCAGAAGCATGCCGAGCGCACGGACAAAAGGCCACCCATTGTGCCTGGCGCACCGGTGGCGGGTGGCGGTGCTCCCGGTGGCTCTAATCATGGTGTGAATGCTGTCAATGCTCCCGTACCCGCACCACCAAATCCAACCCACAATCCGGCTCAGCATCAGCGCAATCAATTGGTATTGCCGCCTGTTTCGATCGCGCCCAGCGACAACAGCTATTGGCCGAAGGTAAGTCCCGACTCGGCGGCGGCGGCCAATGCCATGGAGGTGATGCATCAGCAGCAACAGCAGCAGCAGCAGCAACAACAGCAACAACAACAGCAGCAGCAGCAACCACATCATCATCATCCGCAACACTCTGTGGCGGCGCAGCAACAACAACAACAGCAGCAGCAACAGCATCACCACTCACAGCAACAACAACAACCGCCCCCACAGCACAGCATGGAGGCGCATTATGCGCAACCAACCGCCCCCAATAGCGCCCAAAGCAATGGACATGCCGCCGAGCTGCAGGCCCATCATCGCATGCCCGATCCAGTGCGCGAGGACTTAGGTGAGCTTACGCCAGACACCGGCGACTATGGTCAGACTGGCAAATAATTCAACATTAGCTTATTCCAAAGAAGAGGGACACTTATCAGTTTTATAAAAATCCATAACTTTCGAAAACGTACTTGCTAAAAAGCACAAATTTGCGAGCAAATTATTTGCCTATCTGATCGCACCTTGAAAGAATACCTTATTAAGAATAATTTTTTAAGTAGAAACCGGGTTCCATAAATACCCTTTTGAAGGTTCATTTGCAACAAGCCGTTTCTATTAAACCTTTAAAGTGTAAAGAAAAATAAAAACTCAATCATTAATTACGAATAATTAGTTCGTAGATAGGTTACATAAGAAGTGGTGGGTTTGTTTTTGAAAATAAATCAAACGTAAGGGAATAAGTATTTACATTAAATTAAAATTTTAATTAAATAAAAATTTGAACAAATTAATTGCATTTTGAGATTTGTCTGGAACTTTTTATTTGTATTTCAATAAGCAAATGGAAATAGAACGTACTCCAAAGCGCTAGTTCGTTCCAAAATACAATATAGCTTTCAATTAATTTCGATTATTTGTAGTTCTATTCCAAATCTTGATCAAAGTATTAAACTCCATTTCTCATTCAGTTTGATAAGCGATTAGCCATAGGTAGAGGAAAAGTCTTTCAAACAATTTCAGCAACTTGTCTGCTTACTCGGAATATCAATTTTAATGCTCAGCTCGATATGAATTTATGGAAATTGACAAAGAAAATTTATTGCTTTTATTTTAAACCACCAGACCTATTATACAGATAATCTTATGCACTTACCATTCTACACAGTCTCGACGCCTTCTGCAACCACTGTGGGCCCTTATGATGCCGCCTCCATAACGAAAACCTCCACCAGCAATTCGGCCTTCACGCCCATCAACTCAATGCCGCCGCACTTGAACTCGCTGAGTCACCACCCGATGGCGCAGCGTCCATATCTCTACGATGCCATCAGCTTCCCGAACAAGAATGTCAATCAGAATAATGCTAACGCCTTTCCCAACCAGCTGATTTCTCTGCATCAGATACGAAACTATGCGCACCAGCCGGCGGGTCTGATGGCCGGGGAGCATCTGCTTGGCGTTAGTGTGGGACCGGGGAAAGACAAAGGATAGCTAGCGTCGTATTTCTAAGTTCGGTAAGACCTACTTATGATTTCCGCATTAACCCTCCGTCGATTTTCTTAGCAATATTTGCAATATGCAGATCGTAAATATGTTAATTGTAATTGTAATTCCTCTAAGCGTTCCCCTAAGACGAGTATATACTGTACAGTATTAATTTGTAGCTAGTGTTAGAGAGAGTCCCGCGTGTATGTGTGTTTGTATAATAAGTAAACCAATTGTTATTTTGCATATATGTTTCGTATATCAACAACTGTAAATGTCCGACCATACGTACATATTTGATTTGCCAGCACCGTCCAATTATGTTTATACTACTCGTATTCGTACTATATAGAACATGGAGTTACATTTCAAATGGGACTGCAATGTCCCTTAATGTTTTCAGACCTATAATTATACTTCCAACAAGCATTCCATTTCCAAACATATTTCCACAAGAATAAATTTTAAGCAGATTAGCAGCATTTGGCATCTTCGAAATAATATATTTTGAGTATTTACATCGATTTGGCGAGCTTTCCTCATAAACAAAATAATAGAATTTAACCTGAAGCACTACTTTGAAATCCAGAAAAACTTTAAAAGAGAGAGCTACAAAAATTCTGTTGCTGAAACAGCTGATTTTTTCCTGTATTTCCACAACTAAACGAAATGATTAGTTTTGTGTTAGATATAGTGTAATTCAGATAATTCAGATAATATAAGTAATTCAGATTATCGATTCAGTGGATCGGTTTCTTCACAACTTTTCATGCGAAAAGATGAAAAGTCAACCAGTAAGGTGGCTTAAGAAAAATAACAAAAAATAAAAAGCTGGAGATAAAGAAATCAACAGACGTTGAATATAACCTTGAACTGATAACAAACAGACAAAAACATAAATAAATTTTCCACAAATAACATCGATTACATGATCACAAAAATCTAAGTTGATTGAAGATAGACAATATGGATGGTTTTTCATCATTTTCATTAAAAAATAGACGATAATCATCTTAGTAACCGAAGGTTTGAAAACAAAATATACCCTCTGCAATTTCTTTTTTAAAAGTCTTTGTGAATACTCCAAATAGTATATATTTTATTGACAACGTTTTAATTATGCAACAGTCTCTTTGTTCTGAAATTAAATTTGTTATAAATTAAGACCCCCAAGTATAATATAAATAACATAATTCCCCCTAATGGGGAATAAAACTTTGCCGATTTTAATTAGAAATACTTGCAAGTGCATTGGAAATCAAAGAAGAAGACAATTAAAAATAAAAGCAATTCGTTCCATACGCCTTTTATCGTTCATGATATAATTCAGATAGTTATATCCACTTATTCAAACAATTTATAATAAAAAATGAAAAATAATGAAGACTTTATTTTTTTCAAATTATCTGAACTGTTTTTTTTAAAAATTAGCCAATTTATTTCAACGCTATTTAGTGTGGTGCAGCCCAAAAGCAAAAAACTGTTGAGTGAATGGGCAGGTGTTTCAAATTTTTCAAAATGCAAAAATCTATATATCAAACAAAAAAGAAAAGAATTTTACTGCTAGACAAATTTCGAAATCGGCTGTTTTGTCGATAATGGTAAAAATTAGATTCAATCATTTAATATTTTCTGCGATACCTATTGCATAATAATAAGAAATGGGTCGCAAATTCTGTTGCATAGTATCTTTAGTATATGGATGGTTTTTCATCATTTTCATTAAAAAATAGACGATAATCATCTTAGTAACCGAAGGTTTGAAAACAAAATATACCCTCTGCAATTTCTTTTTTAAAAGTCTTTGTGAATACTCCAAATAGTATATATTTTATTGACAACGTTTTAATTATGCAACAGTCTCTTTGTTCTGAAATTAAATTTGTTATAAATTAAGACCCCCAAGTATAATATAAATAACATAATTCCCCCTAATGGGGAATAAAACTTTGCCGATTTTAATTAGAAATACTTGCAAGTGCATTGGAAATCAAAGAAGAAGACAATTAAAAATAAAAGCAATTCGTTCCATACGCCTTTTATCGTTCATGATATAATTCAGATAGTTATATCCACTTATTCAAACAATTTATAATAAAAAATGAAAAATAATGAAGACTTTATTTTTTTCAAATTATCTCAACTGTTTTTTTTAAAAATTAGCCAATTTATTTCAACGCTATTTAGTGTGGTGCAGCCCAAAAGCAAAAAACTGTTGAGTGAATGGGCAGGTGTTTCAAATTTTTCAAAATGCAAAAATCTATATATCAAACAAAAAAGAAAAGAATTTTACTGCTAGACAAATTTCGAAATCGGCTGTTTTGTCGATAATGGTAAAAATTAGATTCAATCATTTAATATTTTCTGCGATACCTATTGCATAATAATAAGAAATGGGTCGCAAATTCTGTTGCATAGTATCTTTAGTACAAATTGTAACTGATTCACTAAAAATATCTGCTTAAAAATTTGTTCAACTTGGCCGATTACCATCCCTGATGACTCCAAACTACAAGTATTGATGAATGCTTGTCATACGAAGTCTAACGTTTCTCTCAAGCCTCGTCAAATGCGAATGTAAATATAAAAGTGTAATTTAAATAACTTAAGTTACATTTGTGCAACAGATCTCGCGGTATCAGAAATAAAAAAAAAACAAAAAAAAAACAAAGGCACCACTCAAAAGTGTGGGCTGCCTCTATTCAGAGTCAGCCATTGCTGACCTCCAGCATAGTTTAAATGAAAAGAAAAACTAATAGCGTTATGTAAAATATAGAGCAAGATGGATGAAATATAAATAACATTCGAAAATATTTTAAATATATTTGCATATAACAAATATTTAGATTTATTGTATTGAATACAGAAATTTCTCAAAGAAATTTTTAAAGCAAAAAAGGCAAAACAATTTAAATTCCTTGAAATCGAAAAATCGCGTGTATAAACATTTTATTGAATAGAGATCTAAAACTAAATGGAAAAGGCTTAGGGCAAGTAACAAAACACTGTTGAAGTAAATATTTTTGGTAAGACTGACGTGATCAAAATTTAAAAACTAAAATACATATGCAGATTTAAAAATTTTACAAGCGAAACTGGCAACAACTACGCAAAACTGAATGTATCCTAAATCTAAAACTACTCGAATGACAGTAACTAACTAAATATAACAGCATGAAATGTATTGTATTGTACTAAATATTTAAAACGAATGGAGAAATATTAAAACTATAATAGCTAGAGTTTAATTCGCATAAATTAACAAACAAAAACTAGTGTTAAATGCAACTTTCGATGTAAAAACAAAAGTAAAATATAAATATAAACATAAATCAACTATGAAGTGCAACATCATGGGCAATGATGATGAGAAGAAGATAGAGAAACATTCACACATACTTACTCGTACCGCTAGGAACTTGAGCAAAGGTCAAAGGTCGCATACACTAACAAATACAAATACAAATACATACAAATTGTCAATAGTATTAACATACTTACATACTAGTTCGATGTCTGTGTGTTTTTAAGTAATGTACGTTTATTGCCACTGTGAAATAATTTCATAATAAAGTGAAATCAATGTTCGAACCATCACCTATATATGTACATATTTTTCCCGATCATCCAATACATGATCAATCGGGACTTCAAAGTCGCTAATGGGATATATTGTCTGCTTTGAAGCCACAATGTGCGTCAGTGAATAGATCTTCGAGGTCTGGTTGAAGAAAGTCACGCCATTGCCCAGCAGGAGCGTCGTATCCATCTTTTTTTCCTCCACTTTGAATTGTCTTTTGTCTAGACATATAGGAAGGACAGCTCCAGAAAACTTGAATGGTTTCACAACCATTACATTGACAATTTTCTCATTCGAGTTCCTGTGCGAATACAAATAATTTGAGTTGTGTATAAAGGTAAGTCAATAATATGTTTTTTCCCTACCGGACCGCATATATTAACGAGGCATTATGCACCACATAGGAGTGGGGCTCGCTTTGCCTGAATGGAACCTCATGATGTCCTTCCACTACACTATAGCCCACGTGGTTATCATCAAAGACTTCGCTATCGTCGAGGAAACAATCATAAGCCGATAGCAGGACATATGGTGAAATAACCGCTCCCAGGCAGCGGAATTTGTAAATGGACCCTGAAGTACGGCGAAATATGCTGACTGCCCATGGCACTTTACCGATTTGAGTGGGCGGAATGAAGCCGCATTTGGGCTGACATTGGAAAGAACCCTTGGACCAAGTGCCAGTTGCCTCGCAAGTCACTTCCAGTTCTCTGGCCGAAGTCGGTTCGAAGCCCTGGGCACAAGATACGACCATTTTGGTGCCCCTGAAATGTGTTGGGTTTCGACAATCGACGTCCTCACCCTCATAGCTGCATTGTGTCTTATACGCTATATAGCGGGCATCGGGACTCTGAGGGCAGACGCGAACGCACCTCGAGAAGGGTTCATGGCGCCACTTTCCCTACTTACACGTGTTTTTCTTAGCTCCTTGCAACTCGTAGCCCTTAGGACAACTGATATCGACCAGGACATCTAGCCCAACAGTCGCATTTGTCTGATAGACTCTACCGCTGAAATAATCCTTCACCAGCGTATCTGTCGCGTAGCTGGGTACTTTACAATATTCTGGCGCCCTGCTTCTACTGCCACCACTTTCCAACTGCTCGTCACTGTTGACTTCCTCGTCACTGCCATCCACACAATCCAATACCATATTTCCTTTGGCATTTTGGTGCACACATGCGCCATAGGCACATTGAAATGCCGTATTGGAGCAGATGGTGGCTCCACATAAGTCCAGCGTCTCATCACTACCGTCTGGGCAGTCCGGCTTGCCATTACACATCTCGTAGAAAGGCACACAACGCGTCTCGCCAGGCCCTTTGCACTGAAAACCCGATTCCTCCCCACTAACGAACCAAGTTAAGAACTGAGCTGAGTTCAGACTGGTCGGACAAGCAAATTATTTGCATGCAAACTCTCACAAAAAATGAAAAGTAAGTACATACTCCAAAAGCAAAAAGTGTGCCCGTCTGACCACTATTGTTCATGCCCGCATTACTAAAATAACAGCTTTCTTAAAGTATTAAATTATGAATTTGTAGCGCTACTGTTAGGTTCGATTTTAAAAAGATTTGCGTGCAAATAATTTACATGTCTGACCATTCCTTTGGAATCAATTAACTTACGTGCAATTGCCTTGAAGCTCTGCCAGCAAAACAGTCACATCTTCATCTTTGGCACATAGGTATTTGTTCTCGTCGGTACCATCCCAACAATCCAGCTCATTATCGCATTTCTTTTCATCGGAAATACAACCGCCATACGCACACCGAAATTGTCCAGTTGAGCAATTTGTATAATGGCATTCCCCAAAGATTTCATCGCTGCGATCTACACAGTTATAGACACCATCGCATAATTTAATTTTGGGAATGCAATCTCCATTTTGGCATTTGAATTCTTCTTCTACGCAGCCTATTGATGGGAAATTGAAAAATTTATATCGATCATAGCAAGATTCCTACTGAAATTGCTGCAATTACACCCGTTATTTTATATATATTCCCGAACATGTATGTTTTTTGTCTCTCAGCAACATTAAATAAATGTATATAAGCTGATAATACTTGATCTGTGACATCCAAAAGCTTATACATAGAATAGTTTATAAGCATAGACAAACACTTTTAAATTATTAAAATTTATTTTAAGGCTATTCATAATATTCGTACCATTTGTTAGACACGTAATCGTTAAACTAAATCCGAACAAAATCGTAACGAATTTAATCATAATTCCAGCACCTTTTTTGTATATTTTCTACTGCTATGACTTTTGCGGGCAAGCGACTGTTCAGCACTGACCTGCCAAATAAATGATGCTGTCGGAATAAGACCCAGTCTTAAGTCTTGATTAATCCAAGCAATGGAGATTAAGACTAGAAAGAGTGCAATGAAGAGAACATAAGAGAATCAAAGTCAATAAGCGAAAAGATGGAAATTTAAAGCAAATAGCCTATATTGGCTTTCACTCTTCGCTAAAATTGGAAAATCAAAGCCAACTTCCTCAATCATTCACAGCACTTAATCTAAGAGTTGTGCAGAATATAGATAGCTCTAACAAATATTTAACATGAGATTTTAAATCTTGTCTAATGTAATAACAATTAATAATAATACTATAATGTTTAAAAGACAAACACAACACCATAGATTTGTGAAATCTGTGCTGCCCCCAATTGATTTTCTAACCCTAGCCCGTGTGTAGTCAGGGATTAAACTGGAGATGGTGGAAAAATTAAAAGAGCAAATATTGCGAACAAACTACTAGGGCTTTCTCACATTTAAATACTCATTAAAACGTTTTCAAATGCAAATACAATTACCTGGCATACAATGAAGCAAATATCGGTTGAAGCTCTTACAAATATAAGGCCTTACTGATTACACATTTAAAACTTCTTCCCAACCAAATATTATTATATATGCACACGTTTATTATTTTCAATTTCAATTTAATAATACAATTGGTTCACAGCAATTTTCTGAGCGTCGATTTCCTTTTGGAATTGTCCAATATCATATTTAACATTTCCACCAACAATGTCAATGATGCTAAACACATTGTTCTCTTGAACGGCCAATGAATCGCCCAATTTGCCATTGTACTGGGATGTTTTCTCTCGCGATTCAAAATTCCCTATACATATGGGGTTAGTGGCTCCTGAGAACTGAAACGGCTTAGCGAGCACCATACTCGCGATTTGAATTCCCTCTCTGTGAAATAAGAAAGTCGCAGCATTATGTAGGATCTTAAGAAAGTGCAATCACCTACCCGAGTCGATTTATGGCAGATATTTTGTGAACTTTGTAGCCGTGCTGTTCGTGCTCCTTGAATGCAATTTCGTGGTGGCCCTCCACCACACGATAGACTGTGTGATCTAAGGAACTATTTTGGAAACACTCAACGGCAGTGAGGACAATGTGGGGCGCTATTATAGTGCCTAGGCAACTGAAATCGAACTCGGGCTTAGAGCTAGTTCGAAATATGCTGACGGTCCACGGCTTTGCGTCTTTTAGTGTGGCCGGAATATAACCGCATATCGGATCGCATTGCAGGGATCCCGACGTCCATTCTCCCGATTCCTCGCAAGTCAATTCGAGGTGTTTAGTGACAGCTTTGAAACCAGGAGCGCAGAACACTTGCATTTCAGTGCCCATGAGATGTGTAGGCTTTTGGCAGTCCACTAGCTTCCGTCCGTTTATGCAACGTGTGGTGTATGCGAAATGCCGGGCCATCATACTCTGCTCACAAACAGGTATGCATTTGGGCCACAATGAGCGCCACTTACCACCGGTTTCAGTGTCGATCTGACACACATTGTTGTCCACACCTACCAGCTCATATCCGCTCGCACAACTCAGTTTTAAGAAAACATTTGGCAGCACAGTTGAATTCGCCGAAAGAATTACGTTGCTCACATAATCTTCGACCCTCATATGTGGTAAATTGTCCGGCACATGGCACTCCTCGATGTACCAACTACTTGTAGATTCCTGAGCACATATGGCTGGTGTCTCATCGCTGCCGTCGAAACAGTCGATTTTATGATCGCATTTCGACATTTCCGGCACGCATGCGCCGTATTTACAGCGAAAAGCGTCTTCGCTGCAAATGCTTGCTCCGCACAGTTCGATCGTCTCATCACTACCATCCGCACAGTTTAGCTTGCCATCGCAAATCTGGCTAATGCTGATACACTGCTGACCAGGCTCATCGGTTATTTTGCATTGAAAACTATCCATAGTCCTAAAACGAGAATGTTCAACTGAGCTGAGGAGATCCTTCTGAGACAAAAACCATTGAACTTACGTGCAGTTGCCTTGAAGTTCTGCCTGCAAACCATTCATATCCTCACCATCGGCACAGAGGTATTTGTTCTCATCGGTGCCATCCAAACAGTCCATCGCACCATTACACATCTGCACATCGGGAATACAGCCGCCATAGATGCATCGAAACTGTGAAGTTTCGCATTTGGAGCTGTAACATTTCTCAAAGGTTTCATCGCTAAAATCTCCACAATCGTTGAAGCCATTACATAAGCTTTGGCTTTCAGTACAGTTTTCATTGGCGCACTGGTACTGATACGATGGATCGCAAAAATGGGGAATGGAAAGAGCTTAGGTAAACAGAAATATAGACATGTTTTTAAACATATTTTTCTTCAGAGTTAATGGAATACTACAAATAAATTATAGCAAATCAATCGACGACGAGATAAAGGTACAGCCTTAGAGAAACAAAATTAAATTTCCATAGAATATAATACCTCGGATAATTCTGACATCAACACAGATTCTTCAGCGGCGCTGCCAACGAGTTTATATAGAAATCTCTATGTTTATTTATTTAGAGTATACCAATTAACGCAGTAGAGCTTGTACAAGAAGTATGTTCTATATATAAATTTAAAGAAAAGGCATTTAGCGATTTAAGTTCAATGATAACCTTTTGAGCTGATCTTCAAATTAAAAACACATACAGCACACCTAGAATTCTTATCAGTTTCTCCAAAAACAAACAAGCAATTGGTAAGCCAATCTGGTTAATATAGCCTACCTTTTCTCCATTAAGAAAGAACTTATACATTTGCTCTGCAGTTGGCAAAATTATATTTACCATTTGTTAGGCATGCAAGCGCGAGACTTGTAGCCACTAATATGTACAATTTGGAATTCTTCATCATCACTGTTTGTAATGTCGAAGACTCCACAACGTCAAATTTTGAGCACGGTTGCGAATAAACTGAACTCAGTTTCAATGCTTCTTGATTTCTATACTAATACGAGATAAGAGCACCACACTATAGCGATGCTCTTTTGGCTCTCTTCATTTTCAAAGATAAGGTTTCTCTCTCGATCTCTTTAATTATATTTTGGCCGTAGATCTTTAAGTTCCTGCCTGATCGCCGGGAGAAAGCAGTTGATTTTCTGAAGTGATACGAGGTTGGTAATAATATTTAGATGTATTGCTTGAAGATATCTGAGTCCATCCGCGAGGATTGTAACCGATCCACCCAACTTTTCATTCGCCTTTTCCTTAACATCTAAGTCTAATGTATGCGTTTGAACGTCCGCCAAGCATACGGGCATCAGATTTGGCGAGAACTTCAAGGGAACGACAAGCCTCAGCAGGGCCAATAAATTAATCGTGGTGCCTCTGTTAGGGAAGAGATAATACAAGTGGATGTTAAGATTGATGCATACAAAATCCATTATAAGCGAGATGCTTACGGCCTACTCAGCAGTTTAATTTCCGCCACATTGTGCCATCTATAGCCGGTACTGGATCTGAAGGATATCATATCCTGACCTTTGACTACAGCATACCGGGTGGTATCAAGCTCGCTATTGGGAAAGCAAAATCTCGTAGTAAGTATAAGGTGTTGCGAAACAATTGTGCCTTCGCAGGCAAATTGAAAGGATTTACGGGAGATTCGTTTGAATATGCTGACCGTCCAGGGCGTCGAAAAACTCTGGTATGGAGCTGAAGGAGCAATGCCACACTGGGCCTTGCAGACCAAGGGCTGAACTATGGACCAATTTCCATTGTCTGTGCATAGGAGTTGGCCCAATTGCTTGTCTCCACGGACAGACTTATAGCTGGGAGCGCATCCCATGTGCACCTGAGTATCGTCAAATAAGATGTCCTTCTTACAATCGATGAGCTCATCGTTGTAGATGCATCTGTAGGTGTGCGATACGTCGCTATGGAAGACTTCGGACTTGCAAAATTTCCTGCATTTCGGCCACTCACTAGCCCATTGGCCATCGTTGCAATAGTTTATATCCTTCCCCAGCAACTTGTAGCCGCTTCCACAAATCAGGCGTACTACAGTGGAATGCTTTGCTTCTACTTTAAGACTTCTTTCTGGGAAGAAATAATTCTGAACTCGCATGTCGCCTATGCTATTGCGTATTCGGCAGGATTTTAATTCGGCCTTAATAGAATTCGACACTCTCCAGTCCGTTTCGTTGCTACCCTCCAGACATATTTGAGGCATTTCATCGCTGTAATCCAAGCAATCGGGGATGTGGTTGCAAAACGCATTCCCCTGGATACAGCCCCCATAGGCACAGCGATAGGAGTGCAGGGGACATATCCTAGTTAGACACAACTCAAACCCTTCATCAGTGCCATCGTCACAATCCTTCTTACCGTCGCATATCAGGCTGATATGCAGACACTCTCCGCTTGTTTCGCAATTGAAATTGTCGTCCCTGTTGGAAAATAATATATCATTTATATCGTATATTATATCGTAAGTGCGGCAATTTATTTAATGTGAACTATTCATACTGGCACTGCCCCTGCAGAGATTTTCTGTGCTCCTCCACATCTTTAGCCGTTACTTTGCAGAGATATTTGTTCTCATCGCTAGCATCCACACAATCCTTATATCCGTCACACGTCCTATTAGATGGAATGCAACCGCCATAGGAGCACCGAAACATTCCAGTGCAATTGGACTTGTGACAAGCTATAAACTCTTCATCACTACTGTCCGCACAATGTGGAGTCCCATCGCACAAGAAGTAGCTTTGGATACGTTCTCCATTTTTGCATTTAAACTCAGATGGCGTAGGTGGGCTCGGTGACACACCGTTAACTAGAAAGAAATGTGTATATAAGGAAAGAAAAAGATAAACTTGAAAGTAAATTATCGGCTAGATTTTTACAAATAAATAAATTATTAATTATCATAAGTTATGCGTCTTTCAACCACATCTTCTACAAATTGCATAACAATACGAAGAATAAAAGCCAACTTATCGCATATAGTGTAATACTGAGCTTGTGTAGTATGCAATTATTTTTTTACTTCTATATTTCCGTTGTTTTGTAATTTTTATAGCCTGTACCCAAAGGGTGAAAGGCTATACTAGTTTTGTGCGCATGTATGTAACACACAGAAGGAGGCGTGGCGGACCCCACAAAGTATATATATTCTTGATCAGGATGAGAAGACGAGTCGATATAGCCATGTCCGTCTGTCCGTCTGTCCGTCTGTCCGTCTGACCGTCTGTCCGTCTGTCTGTATGAGCGCAAGGATCTCAGTAAGTACAAGAGCTAGGATAACCAAAATTGGTATCAAGGTTCCTATAAGCCCTAGGCAGAACGAGTTTGTTTATTTTTTCTGATACACCCCCCCACTCCCCCGCAATTCGTATTTTTTCTTATAACTTCCGTAATTCTCGGAATTTTGAAATCAATTTTGTTAGGTACATCCAGTTAGTACTAATGTGTCCGTGTGCCAAATTTCATCATGATAGGTCAATTCTGAAGAAAGTTATAGCCATAAGTAAAATCGCTGCTCATGCGCTGCCTCTGTCGGCAGCGCTGCCCGCAGCTGTTGTTGTTGTTGCTGCTTTGGTTTAACTTTGTGCTGCATACATACACGCATATAAACACGCATATAAACACGCATAGGTACGTGATGTAAATGTATGCTGTTTAAACTGAACATAAACATGTATTCTAATTTAATTTAATTAATTATTTTAATTAATTCATTCATTCATTTTTTTTAATAATTTAATTTAAAAAATTTTTTTTTTTTTTTAATTTTTTCCTTTTTGTGGAGAGTACAGGCTATTTTACTGTCGGGCTTGCTCGACTGTAGCGTTCTATCTTGTTAGTTTTTGGTGAATGGAGAAATCATTTAAAATTTGACGAAGCTTTAAACAATTTAGCATAAATATTAAAAATTCCTTTTCCTATGTACAATTCAATGGTCTTTTGATTTGATTGGTTCGAATTATCAACCAGATGTCGTAGGAACCTTCCCAAGTAATGATATTAAGAAGGTTTTCATTTAAATTTATGCAAACTTATTACTTTATTATTCCAATTTGTTTGCATTTTTTAGTTATTACAGACCACTTTACATTCATTAGAGATTTATATTAATTTATTCCTGATATTTGCCAGAACGTTTTTAAGCTTCTATTTAATATCCGATTATATTGGCACACAATAAAAAATATAAAAAACGGTTCAAAATATTTAAGATAATTTTTTGTATTAAATAAAGCCATTGCAATTGTTCATTTTGAAGTTTTTCTTTCCTCATAACTTATCTGCACCGTTATTATACGTTACTTTATATAAATTCTATTGTTCTCACCAGCTTTTATACAACAAATCGCTGAGACGATGAGAATAACTTGAAGGAACTTCATTGCAATTATTTAAATTAATTAATTAAAAACAAATGCTTCACACACAAAATGTTAACAGCGACGGCTGCGCGAGAAGAACTAAAATGATTGATTGCGAAACACAAGAATTTATACTTACTTTATACATTTGTTCCACATACTTGTACGTCATTCACGTCACTCTTCTCTCTTATCGCTTTTGAATTATTTGCTCTTAATCGAGACGCGGGTGCCACAAATATACAATAGATTATGCGAGTATAAATATATTTTATATTAATTCGGTATAGTTGTTAATTGAATGCTGACAACTAATTTGGTCGTAGACTTTACTGATATAGAGTTTCGACAATGGGTTAGTTTGAGATGGCTGGGGCCTTGGTCCCCTTGTATACAACTGCACTTTGCAATTTTCACAATCTGGATTTTGGCTATCAAGACAAGATCTGCAGAAATCAATTGATGGGATGCCAAGTCTAGTGACGTGTCTGCCTACCAGACAGTGGTCCGTAAGTACCCGTGGAAACTTCAAACCTTTTTAGTTTTTGGAGCTTAGTTGCGATTTGGTAACCTGATCAATTCTGGAACCACGATACATTTTTTTTACTTTCCCAGATCATAAGACGACATAGTTTCGAAGATAAAGGAATGGAAACGAACTGTGCATGCGGATATATCTCGGTCGAAAGTTTTTAATATAAACATGTATGACGTATGTTAGCCTTGAGCGGATATGGATTTGCGTCACGCCTTATCAAAATAAAATTAAATGTATTTTTAGATGTATATATAAGTATATCGTTTATTATGCTTTTACTGTTGAAATAAACCATTTGATGTTGCTTACAAATATTTTTTATATTTATTACAATTTCTACATTACGCATATGTATGTATATGTGTGTGGGTGTTTTTCTGTATACTTCACTTTCTAATGTATATCTTCTATATGTTTATCTCATCATCATCATCATCATTGTTCTCTAAAACCCTCGACTATATCGCTAACTTCCTCGAATTATTGTATGCAGACGAATTGAAGTTGTATTGGTATCGGTTATGCTCACATACGGCTGGGTATATGTTATATAATATATCAGCTATACACGCCTATTATAGTATGTTTGAGAATATTTAGGTAGTTATGATTTGGTTCAACTTTTTGCATTAGTAGGTTAGTTAGTTTTCAACATTTTACAAAATTATTGAAAAACTGAAATTGGTGTTTTACTCGACAGGGTTTATAATAAGTTTCAGAAATAATTGCTAGTTCGTTCAGTACATTGGTTATGTTCGCCCTAAATCTCGCTTTTAAATCCTCATTTTGTTGTTATTTGGTTTTGAATTTTCGGAATTGATGTACTTAGTGATTAAAATAATTTATCTTATTGCATTTTGCCTTTTGCTTTTATTTGAGCTTTACATTTACGCTTTATCTCTATATGGTATGTGGTATATACTTGTAGTATGTATGTATGCATGTATGTATATGGGTATTTATGTATGTACGTACGTTAGTTATATAATTCTTTTGGTTGCTTTCAATTGGGGCTTTTGTTTTTGTTTTTTCTTTATTTTGTAGCTCTCTGGTGCCTAAGCATTTTCTGCGTGTATTTTTTGTTTTTATTTCTTCTCTCTACTTTTAATTAATTATCTTCAATCTAGACTGATGCGTATTTGATTAGTTTTTGGTGTTTTGGGATTTGGAAAGTGTTGAGTAGTTTGTCTGCTTATTTCAATTGGGTTTCTTTTTTTTACAATCAAACAATTAGGCTTTAAACAATGATACAGAAATGGAGGCTTATTCCTTAAGTTTCTATATACTTAGTATCTTACATACGTAAATTGGTTTTGCTTTAATAAAGAAATCATATACAATATGTAAATGTCTTTATCAGGGTGGGCATACTTTGAATACAAATATGGATTGAATGCAACATCGATGTCTGAAGCGTATGATAACCATAAGTACTACTTAATAGCTTGTGCCGCAACGGAAACTAATTATAAGCCGATGGATTGAAATCAAGCCAATTATGATTTTTTACAGCAACTTAAACGCTTTCACTTTTATTCGCAAATATCTGCATATTTCTGGTTATCTGCTATATTTATATGTATTCTCAATTATCTTACATTTAGATGCATTGTTACGTACTAAACATTTTCTAATACATTTAATTTACTTATGTAGTTGTAGCTCTGTCTGTATTTTTTATTCTTTCCTTTTCCTCAACTCATACACATACTCGTATATGTATTGTTTTGGTTTTGTGTATATAGTACTTATATGGCTCACAAATTTCTTTTAGCGTTGCCCTCGTGGGAAAAGCAACCAAACACAAAAATGAAAATCGTGTGGATTGAAAACTAACCGGATCAGATATCATTTTATCAAATTAAGAACAGAACCTTACGCTCTCCAATCGCTACAGCCGCCAGCGCCGGCGCCGACACCAACTCTCTCTCCCTATTTTCGCTCTCTATTTTTCTCCCTCTTTGGATGATAACCCCCTTACTCGTTCAGTTTGTGCCACTCGGCAATCTGACGACGCGGTGAGTTGCAAACTTCATTCCAATGATTCAAAGCGGTGCTGCTCGAGTTCTGCCCTCCCAGCTCCAAGCGTCCAATTACCTGCGAAAAAGGTGGCATTCAGTTATATACTCGTATACTAATGAACTGAAGTGGCGTGCCGCGTGCCGCGTGCTTACCTCATTCTTGGTCACGCGATCCCAATCGAGTAGCATCAGCTCCAGTGAGACGCCCTCCAGAGTGGCGCCGGTGCCCTGCAAGTTAGACATCAGTATAAATAGAATAATTAGCAGTTGTTAAGGCGCTCTACATAAACAAAAGAGTGGGGCTCTATTTCTTGGCTCAGTGCCAAAAAAAAATGTTGCTAATATCTTAGAAAAAGATTGATAAATTGGCAATTAAATTTAAGATTAATTTAAATGGCAAGCATGTAACTACAAATCTGACCTTTTCTAGGTTTATATTTATAGGTACTGTACTTCCCTAAAACAACTCATTCGAACTCACTTTAAATTGGCTGAAAAGTAGTGAAATATTTTACTTCCTAAAATCCCAGTAAACTGAAATAACAAATTGAATTGTATTCATGGAAGATAGGCACTTCCTGGCACACTAAATACTTCAATTGTTTTCTTTATTTATCTGAGATAACAAATAGAATTTTATCCATGAATGATAGACACTTCCTGCCAGTTGTTTTCTTTTTTCACTTATCATTGCTTTTTGATATTAAAATATCCTTAGTTTAGAAGAACAAGACAGAGTTTGGCGAGTCAAGAGTTGTTATATAATCTTAGGCATTTTAATTTTGAATTAAACTTTTGAAAACCATCTTCCGAAGGCATTAAAAGAAATGAAATGAGCTATAAAAGTTAAGTATACTCTATGATGAAATATTTGAAAAAGATCGAACATAAAACATTAAATCGAACATACATACAAATTGAAAGTGAAATAAAGATATATAAATACATACAAATACCTATAGCTTTATCCCATTTTTAATTCAACCTCAACTCACCTCAGCTGCTGGTATATCGAAGGCGAAACTCTCATTGAATACGGGACTCAGCGTACGCTTCTTAACATGTGTCTTCTTCTTGGCTATGCGCTGGCCATTGTACAACAAATAGATCTTCACATAGGGATCAGCCAGACCGGTGACATCCATGCGTGGCAAATTGCGGGCCTTCAAGAGGACGACGGTCAAGCGACCGGCCGCTGGTTGCCAGCACAATGAGATCAGCAGCTCCCCACGTCCCTGGGCGCGTATCTTTAGACTGCGTGGCTGAATCTCCTTGCTAATGGACAGGGCCTCCTTCGATATGTCGCCAATCTCAATGGAGGATAGTGGGCAGACCACCTCGCCAATGACATCGTCGCGCGAATAACGATCGAAGCTGAGTATGACAAAGTGGAGCGACATGTTCTGTAGATCGTTCATGTTCAGGCCGTAGAAGGTGAAGTCCTCGTCGTAGACCGGGTTCCGGGTGTTGCGCACCACGCGTGTCTTCACCTTGTGCTGTTTGTCGGGCAACAACTGCAGCTTCACATACGGATCGGTGGCAGCCTGGGTGCGTCCATTCATGCCCGTGGGTATGTCTCCGGTTCCGCTCTGTCCGCCCTTGCACGGCAATCCCCGACAACGTATGATCGATACCATGAGAGCATTGCGTTCAGCCAGATAGCGTAGCTTGAAGTAAATGGTGCCCAGCTTGCCATATTGATCGACCACGGTCACCTCCTTGCCGTTGGTCAGTCCGTTATCCAGGGTGATGGTCACATTGCCGTTCGCAATGGTCTCCACCGGGGAATGATGCTGCTTTTGGCTGCTGCTGTTGTCCACCACGTGAAGCTTGTTCGGAGCCGGAATTACTGGCACCTCATCCTCCTCGACATATTTCAATGTTGGTGGCGCTGTCGGCGATGTCGATTGATCCTGCATGGGCGAGAGCAGACCCATCTGCTTGCCACCCGTGGGCGAGGGCGATTTCTTTAGATAATGCGGTGGCTGACCGCTCGGCGAACGAACTGCGGTCGGACGTCGGGTCGGCTGGAATGGGAACGAGGCGTCATGATGGTTCTGCTTCTTGTTGCGTATGCGCATCTGCTTGGCACAGATGCAGGCAACCATCGAGAGCACAGCGGCCGCCGTAAGTCCCAGAATGGCGGGCACAACTAGCGGAATGAATAGCAGAAATAAAAGAATGAGATGTTAGTTAATTGCTAAAAAATGCTATATTGATATTAGGATTGAAGGAAAGAAATTAACTAACTAATTATATTGAAAAGAAATATTAACTATTAAATAAACTATTAATTAATTAATTAATAAAAGAAATTTACAAAACATTTTCATCACTCCTCTGCGGTTCTCAAATTGAATTTTCTGAGCCTTAACATTTCTTTAATGAATGGTGATCAGTATTTCTAGCATTATTTTGTTACTTTTTTAGTTGTCTAATTCTCATAAATCTCCTCTGCGATACTCATGATTTTTTCTGTTTCCCTGCAAATAAAAAACTCTTCTTGTGCTTTCCTTAGCGGCTTCAATAACTTATTGCTTATTGTTCCGATCTGTATAACTAGCATCTGTTTATTAATTTGTTTTTTCTGTTGCCGAATGTGTACTTAATTCGTCAGAAGTTCTTTGAACTTCTCTAACATAACAGTAGGGTCATTTTTTTTCTTCTTTGTTTACTTAGCTTTGTAATAGAATTTAAATTTAATAAATATAAAATATAAATTATCTGCTGATCTGTTTTTTAAGTAGGATGTTTAAAATATTTTTGCAAATTTGCATTCACTGTACTTGAGACTGCTCTATAAAACGAAATACAGTATATACATATACTCTTAAGGTATGATTTCCACTGAATATACATATATAGTATATAAATACAAATAGCACTTGTGCGCAATTCCCATTATTTTGCACCTGCGATGTTTCATATTAACGAGCGCAATTTATTTTGTTGGCTTAGGATAATACTTTACTATAGTATATATATGTATATGGATATGGCCCATATCCATTTCATATGGGCCTACTCATCGGTCACTGTGTGCTTACTTGTATCCATGACGCTGACATCTGGTATATACTCGTCAGCCATTGTCAATGCCTTCGGCTTCAGCCTCCCTGCCTTTGCTTGAACTCTGGTTGAAGTGGAGGGTTGCGGTTACGGTTACGATTACGGCTGGGGTTACGTTTCTGCTGATGCCTTTGAAGTTGTCAGCGCTGCATGGAATAACAATTAATTTCCATTAAAATAAAGAAACTTTTCTTCAATTACAACTGGCAACTTGTAACTTTTTTTGCACTTGCTGTTGGCAAACAGAAAATTGTTCTGACGATTGCTTTTCTCTGCTGGCAGCTGCTGGGTTTTTCACTTTTCGCTATGCTTGTTATTGTTGTTGTTTTGCTCAGCTCGCTGGCAAGTTCTACGGGCATACACACACGCATACATACACACACATATGATTGCTGGCAGGCATGAATCACACTTTTCAGCACTCACACCCCTTGCTGCGGGGCTTCCCTTTTCAAGTTCAATGAAAAAATTTTCTTGTGGGTCTCCCTGACACCCACACAGAATTGAAACAGAAAGGTATTCTTTCCTTTGTTTTTTTTTTCACTCTAATATTCAATATTATTGAAACACTTTTATGCATAAACAGTAATTTTTCTTTTAGAGCCAATGTGCTTGAACTCTTGTGCTATTTTCGCATTTTCTGCATCTATTCACAATTGCTTTGAGGTCCTGCGCCAATTTGCAGAATTTTCTTCGCTTACTTTTATGCCTTAGTTGGATGCCTCCAAGGCTGGCTGCAATAATTCAACAGCGAAAATTGTCTTCCTCTTCAGTTCCACACAATTACTGCACAATCTGAATAATTTGCGCTGCCTACGCTCCGCGAAAAATTTAAAACGCAATTGCGTATCTCCCGCACACGCAGCAGTCGGACTTTATTTTGCCTTTCAAGTGTCTTGGCCAACTCGTTGCTGCGCCAATCGTTAAAACTGCGCCTGCGCATTCCCCACATTCGTCGCTTTCTGTGTGGGCTGACAGACGAGTTCGCCTTTATTTTCCACTGCCTTGGAGTTGCAGAAGCCTGTGACGTCTTCTGCACGCACTCGCTTTGGGGTGGGTGGTGGTTGCTATCATTGCGGCGTTGTGCAACACTCTCTTTGTTGGATGTAGTGGCATGGAAGCTTACACTCGATGACTCATGCTACTGGGATCTTTAATGACACGACTCTAGCGCTTCGATGCCGAAAATGCTGTAAGGGTTAATTAAGTTGTTTTTACCTAACTTTTGGCTTATTAAAATAAATAGTATGCAATTGTTAGAAAAAGTCAAGAGATGACTATGAGGGAAAAATGTAACGGTTTCTTTTGTGCAAGTTAAAACATGAAAACCGTCTCCAGAATGTCTAACCTGTTAGAGGGTTTGAAGAGGTTTTGAATTGACATGCTTTTTTTAAATATTTCTATCAATAAAAGATATTTTCTTTAATAAAAAATAAAGCAAGAATTTAAATGAATAGAATAAATTAGAAGTAAATCCATAAAATGTTAAAATAAAATGAATAACTAAATTAAATTTATAAGTAGTTCTTTTTTAAGTAAATATAAGGTATTTAAAATGTTCGCTGAATTATTGAAAATATTAGCTGCTGGCATGCTTAAAGCAGATAAAAACATTTTTTAACAATTAACAATTAAATTTAGTTTAATTTGAATGAGAAATTAACTAGGTTCTTCAAAATGATTATATATTTTTAAAATAAGAGATGTGCAATAGAAAACCTAAGAAATAATAATAATTATCTGTCTGTCAGCTAATCTGGAGGAAATGACAAATGAGACTTTTAAAGGAAATAAGCTGATGGAAAGCTTTTCAGTATGACACTTATACATAGATCAGGCAGTTAACATCTTTTCAAATGAGACATACTTGTAGGACGGGCCTCGATTAGCCAATTGCGTCAGTCTATTTTGGTGAGCTCGCAGTCGTTCGTTTTATTGAATAGATTATATATTCGCTGAAAAGGGAAGGGCTCAGTAGGAGTAAAGTAAAAGACAATAGTCGCGGACCGCCGTGCGTCTGTTCGCTTTAGAGTTTTATTGGAGACTGACACTTTTGCTATACATATTCTTTATGCTTACATTCGTATGCAACAGTGACAGATAACTTGTAGATAACATAAGATTATTATCTGCTTATATTAACATGCGTGCATTGGTACTTATGTTTGTATTGATTTTCAACACCCTTCCTCAATGCAAACATGTTTTACAAAAATTTTCAAATCAAATTTAACAGCTTTGTAAAATGAACATGCTTCGCTTTAGGGAGATTTTTCGTTAAAATATCAGCTATCATTTCATTGGTTGATGTATACTGTAAAACAATTTGTTCTTCGTTTACAACCTGTCTTGCAAAATGATATCTAATATCAATATGCTTTGTTCTTTCATGGTGTACAGGATTCTTAGCTAATTGTTGAGCACTTAAATTATCGCCATGAAGAATAGTTGGAGTACTCGAGTCACCGCAGCCAATCTCCACTATAAGACGCCGTAGGTATATGGCCTCCTTACACGCAGTTGAAAGAGCCATATACTCCGCCTCCGTGCTGCTAAGTGCCACGCTGCGTTGCTTTTCAGATCGCCAGGATATGGGTCCTCCAGCCAAGTAGTATACATAGCCAGTATACGACTTGCGATCGATGCGGTCGCCACCCCAGTCTGCATCCACATAGCCGGTAAGGGGTTGTCCACACTCTTTGTAGTGCAACTTCAGGTCCACAGTTGACGCCAGGTATCGAAGCACATGTTTTACACCCACTAGGTGCTCTGCATGCGGATCTTGATTCCGTTGAGCTAACTTGGCAACGGAATGCAATATGTCTGGCCTTGTTGTAAGCGCCAGCCACATTAACTCGCCAATTGAAGACTGGTAGGATGCAATGTCAACCTTTTGACAATGCCCGCTGGTACATATCACTTGGAAACCAGCATCCAGTGGGGTCGCTGTAGGTCTACAGGTCTCGCATCCATGTTCACGCAATATGTCTTTGATGTATTGCGAATTGCTTAGCGAAATTTCGCCAAGCTCACCGTCGCGCTGCACTTCCATGCCAAGGAACAAATGCAGCTCTCCCTTGTCAACACATTCAAACGATGTTGTAATGGCTGACTTGATGTTGGCCAAGTCCTCTTTTGATCGGCATGCTATAATTATATCATCAACATAAACAAGGATTAATGATAAGTCACCTCTTCCGTTCCTTTTGTAAAGACACGGTTCATTTTCACATGCTACAAAATCTATGCCTTGTAGTACACAATCGAGCTTGGAGTTCCACTCGCGCCCCGACTGCTTCAATCCATATATTGCCTTTTTAAGCAATAAAGCCTTACTTGGATTATTGGGATCTGTGTATCCCTGTGGCTGCTTCATATAAACAGTTTCATGCAGGTCGCTATTCAAATAGGCGGTACACACATCTATCTGGTGAAGGTACAGCTTCAATTCCGCTGCTAACGCCAAAATAAACCGCACGGTTTCCAATCTGCAAACGGGTGAGAACGTCTCTACATAGTTCACGCCATACTTCTGGGAGCACCCTTTAGCAACGAGTCGTGCCTTGAAACGTTCGACTTTTCCATCAGAGTCACGTTTCAGGCTGTATACCCACTTGCAACCAACTGCTCGCTGATCTTTTGGTAAATCAGCCATCTGCCAGGTTTCGTTTGATTGTAGTGCCTGATATTCCTTTTGCATCGCCTCTTGCCAGAATACTGCATGTGTGCTACCAACGGCCTGATCATAGGATGTCGGAACCATTACGTCACTAGCAACCAATGCTCCAAGCACATTGTATTGCTTTCTTGGACGACCAGGTTTACCATTTCGAACAATTTTAGGCCGGCCTGGCCCAATCTTCACAGTATCCTCGTCAGAGTCTTCTTTTTCGACTGCACTCTCATATGCGTTGGAGCTGCTGTCGTCAGAACTGTGCTCACTGTCATCGTCGTCGATGCTTCTGTCACCATCCGTGTGAGTGACATGCTCTTGAACCTCGCATGCAGGAAAATCTACCGTAACGGTATCTTCATTGGTATGACCACCACAACGCTCATCAAATAGAATGTCTCGTTTTTCGACAATCGTCCTCGTCTCTGGGTCGTATAACCGATAGCCTTTGGCTGCTACCGAATACCCAACCATACGGTACTCATGCCCTTTGGGTTTGAATTTGCCTTTACGGGGACCCTTTGCAAGTGCAACTGCAATGGAACCAAAAACTTTTAGATGGCTAACACAGGGTTTCTTACCTGTCCACGCTTCCATTGGAGTCAGGTTGTTCAGTGCACTGGTAGGTGATCTGTTTCTTATGTATACTGCTGTGTTGACTGCTTCGGCCCACAAAGACTCGCCTAGGCCCGACTGCACCAATAAGCATCTGGACATCTCCGTTAATGTCCGGTTTGCTCTTTCCGCCACGCCGTTCTGCTGCGGAGTATAAGCCACGGTCAATTGCCTTGCAATACCATGGTGTTTCAGGAAACCGTTGAATGTTGTGTTGACAAACTCGCCTCCATTGTCGGTTCGAATACATTTGAGCTTTTTATCTGTTTGCCGTTCAACCAAGTTTTTAAATTCGACGAACTTACTGAACACTTCATCTTTCTTCCGCAAAAAATAAACAAATATACGCCTGGACTTGTCATCGATGAAGGTCAGAAAGTATTTGGATCCAGCAAGTGACTTCGTGTCGAATGGGCCGCATACATCAGCATGAACCAGTTCCAACAGCTCTTCGGCACGGTTAGTGCTTACCTTTGGGAATGGCTGTACATGTATTTTGCTTAGCATACACGTTTTGCAATTCAAGTTGTCTGGGAAAACAACCTTTCCAATACCACGCACTAGCTCTTTGCTGATCACTTCCTTCAGACTGGTAAAATTTAAATGGCCATAACGCTTATGCCACAATGTACCATCTGATTCAGTTGCGGAATAACACCTATTTTGTTTGCCTTGAAACATATAAAGGTTCCCAACTTTATTCGCTTTCAGTATACACTCGCCGTTTTGTATAACTTTAGCAAAATGTGGCCCAAAATGTATAACATTGTTCTTTTGCACTGACCGGCTGACGGACATAAAGTTGCCATTCATTTTCGGTACATACAGTACATCTGACAACACCAAGGTACAAAGTTCTGTCTGTAACTTCACCTCTCCTCTGCCTTCGGCCTTCAGGAAACCAGCGTCAGCTAAACCGATCATTTCAGTGTGCGCAATAAATTTTGAAAATAACGTCTTATCGCAACACATATGGCTTGTTGCTCCGCTGTCCAGACACCACATGTTGTTCTCTATCTTTCCAACGTCCAACGCATTTAACAAGCTGCTCTGCTTTTCCATCTCTTTCTTTGTCGATTGCTTTTTCCCTTCACCGCGAATTTTCTCACGCTTGCACTGTGCCTTGTAGTGCCCTTTTTCGCCGCAGTTGTAGCAAACGACGATTTTTGAATTCCTTTTTGAATTCGCTTTGGAATGCGCGACGATCTGCTGCGTAGCTATAAATGCTCTTGCATTCTCGCTCTCTCCATCTGCATTGCCTCTGCGCAGTGGAAGCGTGCTGGGCCCATAACCTATTGAATAGATTATATATTCGCTGAAAAGGGAAGGGCTCAGTAGGAGTAAAGTAAAAGACAATAGTCGCGGACCGCCGTGCGTCTGTTCGCTTTAGAGTTTTATTGGAGACTGACACTTTTGCTATACATATTCTTTATGCTTACATTCGTATGCAACAGTGACAGATAACTTGTAGATAACATAAGATTATTATCTGCTTATATTAACATGCGTGCATTGGTACTTATGTTTGTATTGATTTTCAACACGTTTGACCTTCTACAGTTTCCAGATTTACCTTTCCCGTAATAATACTTTTTTAATTTGTTACAAAATTTATTGAGTCATTTAATAAATTAGTTTATGAAATTTAATATAGTAATTTGTAAGCTTGTAAAAACATAAAAATATGGTAAAAAGTGAATTCAATAAGACTTATAGAATAATAATATAATAGTACACACATTTATTTATATTTCTATATGATTAAAAGTGACCTTAGATTATATTTTCTATGTGAATTGACCCGGCAAATGTTCGAAACTGATCTCAAATGACAAGAACATTTCTAAGAAATGGTAAAAAATTGATTTATAAATAACATCCAACACCTAAGCTGTTGAATTCCCAGCAATTCAAGCTTCTACATAGCGCTCCATCGCCAAACTTTTAAAACCAAATAAATCGAGCAAAGCTTAAAGCTCTGCTCAGTTCGCAAGCTTTTTGCTCACGCTCCCAGCAGTGCTCCCCAAACAACAGTTTGAATGCAAACAGCTGCAGCTTTTTCGCCGCAATCATCAATTTCGCCGCCGTCGCCGCTGGCCAAGACTCTGCGTCTGCGTCGCCGGCAACGCTTTAAAAAGTCTGCGGCAAGCCGGCTAGCGTTTGAGTCGGCCGCCGTCTGCGTTTGCGCGCAGTTCGATAAACAGTTGCAAGCAGTTATCGTTTTCCAGCACGAAGCCAAAAATCGTTCGTGCGAGTGAGTGCGTGCGTGTGAAAAACTGACAAAATAAATGTAAAAGAGAGGAAACTAATTGTGCACAATTTTTTGCGCGCGCAAAGCGTTGCTGTTACTTATTACTTTTGTCAGTGTCTTCAGCAATTGTGTAATTTGCTTAAAAGCATTTGCCATAAGGAGTCACAATTCCCGTTGACATTTTGTGCCAGCTTCGAAACTATTAATTGTTTTTCTTGCTCGCACCAAAAAGGAAACCAAGCTCAACAACAAGCACAGGTTGTGGCCAATAATGTAAGTACATACTCGTATTTGCAATTGCATTTTTTTTTTTTTGAGACCACCAAAAAAAAAAGAAAACAAAAAACAAACAGAAAACGAAAATTACGAGTATGCCACTGGCAGTCCATTTATGGGATTGAGGAAGCGCGGGCCAGTCTCTTGTTGCAGCCTTTTGGTTTTTTGGCCATCTCCTCGCTTTGTCAACAGCTAGATTGCCACATTACTCATAGACCACAAAGGCAAAACGCTCAACATTGTCGGCTTGGAACGGAACTTGAGACGTTGTTGCTGTTTCTTACTATTTGTTTTTGTTTTCTGCTGCACGCTGATAGTTCATTGTGATAATTTCTGTTGCACTTTTTGCAGTTACTTTTGAAAACGGTTCAGTTTTCGATCGTTACGTTTTAATACCTTACATTGTTGGCACATTTATGTGTCTCACGATTTCTGCGATCAGACATGTTTCTAGCCTCATGCCGCTGGTGGTCGCCTATTCCATATGCCTTATGATCGAACCATTGTGCAGGCCGGTCCGTTGTGTCGGTTTTTTTAAGTCAATGCAGTCTACTAATTTGTTTGATTTTGTGCTCAATTATTGTGCATTATTTATTTCGAGTTGCTCAGTCTGATCAGGTGTCGAGCATATGAGGCAAAAGACTCGCGTTTAGGTGTTTCGCTGTGGCAGTTCATTAAACGTTTTTATTACACTAATGGGAAATCAACCCGGTTTTTAGTAGTTTCGCGGCGGATACAACACAATAACTGCACCCATTTAGTGTCAGTCAATTTTTTCAGAAGTGCTTAACACTTTAAGCAATAAATGTCTATTGTAAGAAATTTTCTTAAGAGCATCGTTTCAAGCACTTTTTATTATAGTTTAACTTGAACAACCACGGAGGTAGCACAGATCCTGTCAGCAATGGCATGCAAGTCGGTCCAACACCTTTGCTAGAAACAGAAAAATTATTGTTAAGTTCACTGCAGCTAGCAGGTCTATTGAAATACAAGTTTATTTACTCTTTACCTTGAAAAGTATATAATTTTGCCAAAATAAAGTGTGCAGGCAAATAGAATTTATATTAAAAGTTGGTGGTCTAATGTGAGTGTCATTTTAAGGGAAATATTAAAGAACTTATGTGAAACATTTATGAAATAAATATGGGTTAGTTTGAAGTAATAATTTTGAAAAATTCCCAAAAATAAGCAGAAAATATAAGTAATCATATTAATACAAATAATTTGTACAATTCTCCCATCATTTCTGTTGGTCATTAGTTTTGAAGACTACATATCAAATATCTAATGATGAACTCTAATCATTACATGTTGACTTACCTTCACATTAAAATATTGTAAAAAAAAAATAAAAACAAGTGACATTTATTTTAAAAAAATTGGTATTAATTTTTCTTGTATTGAGACAGGCTTCGTGTTAAGTTATTCATTTAAAAAATTGATATTTGCATTTATTTAAATAGAAATCCCAAATCTAGATTCAATGCATTTTTAAATTTTGATAGCTTCCCACCTCAATTGGTGGCTAAATAATTAAGCAAATAACTCCTTTATGTTCGCGAATTATTTATTCACCGAAAAGTGATCTGTTTTATATAGTAAGATAGAATGAGCTTTTATTGTCCCTATAGGAGGTCTCTATGTAAGCAATGTAATTCCATTTAATTCAATTTACAATTTACAAGACTCTTATATATTTGTTAACAAACAATTTTGTAAAGTTTGACGTCAAACTGCTACTGACGAACTAATTTAAACTCAGGTAGATTCACTCGTCTCTGTCCAAATAAGGCCAAAACCATATTTGGCTTATTAATCGGACATTTATCTGCCTAAGCCGATCTTCACTTTCGACTCGTTTGCTTTCAATTGAACGAGAAATGGCCAAATGATTTGATTTGATTTTAATTTGTGCGAATATATTCACACACACTCAACACACTCTAAAGAAATAAACTCATTAACTCGCTTATGCATGAACTCATTAAACAGGCACTTTGAAAGCATTTCTTGATATTTCGTCCACTCTGGACGCCTTTTTATTTGATTTGTTATTCGTTTGCATTTCGATTTTATGCTCTTTTTAAAGCGGATCGTCTGTCTTTTTTCGACATGTGCTGAAATGTGCGCGACAATCCATCATCTTTTCTGCTCAAAAATTGGGGACAAACCGAAGAGGTTGGCATCACACGCAGAAAATAAAATAACAATTGTTGCGCGTTTGGGTGCGGGTAACAAAATTAAATCTACATCGAATCTTATTGAAAGCCAAAGTGCTTTGACCGCATGGCGTCGATCTCGACGTCGACGCCGACGTCGACGTCAACGCCGATGGTGTCTTTCGCACCCACAACGCTTTCTTTTCTGCTACTCTTTAAGTTTATTTTTATTTTATTGCATCTAGCTTAGCAAATACTTCAAACCATACAGGCTAGCCTGCTATATAAAAGAAATCACGTAATTATCTATTTCAGGGCTGTGCAAAAATTTTGGCTTACTCTTAATTAATTATAATTAATTTTCTTGCACTAAGTTTTAGATTCCTTGTATGGTAAAAAAAAAAAGTTGAATCGAAGCGAAGAAAGAAAAGATTTGATATATTTTCGTTCTTTTGAGAAAAGTGATTTTAAAATTTTGGCTTACTCTTACTTAATTATAATTAATTTTCTTGACTTACAACAACACAATTAACTGAATCGAGGTATGACTGTGGTGTGTTTGCTTAAGGCCAACATACGTAGCCAAAAATCGTCGCTCACTTGGCGCGAAGTTGGAGTCATGTCGAACTGTCAGCAACAGATAAAATTTGTACGCGTCCATGTTTTGGGAGCGTGCTGGTAATGTAGCTTTTGTTGCTGTTGTTGTTGCTGTTGTTGTTGCTGTTGTTGTTGCCACTGCTGCATCCCAAAACAATTGTGGTTCGCTGTTTCTGCTTTACAGCACAGCATCGATAGACTTTTGTTTGTTTGCATTGCTGTTGTTGTTGTTGTTGTTGTTTTTGTTGTTTTTGTTGTTGCTGCTGCTGTTGCTCCCTTTTTCGGTCCGACATTCATTCATGGGCCGATCATGTACATATTCGAGTATTCATTGAATTTGTCTTCGGATTGTTGTTGCCTTTTACTTGCCTCCTTTTGTGCTCTAAGTTGGCTAAGGCTGGCTGGCTGGCTGCCTGGCTAGGTCTGAGCGGCCTTTGTTTGGTTTCTGGGTGATATTTTGCCATTTGCCATTTTAAATGGTTTTTTCGGTATTTATTTGTTAACAATTGGTTATGGCACATTTTCAGTTACAAGTCATCGAAAGTCAAGAAAGCTGGAGAAGTGGCACATTTGCTCGTATTTCGTCAGTTTCTTCTCATTTTCTATTTATATCGTTTATTTTTGTTAAGCCGCCTTGACAAAAGAGTGGGGCCAACACAGTCAGCATTCAATGGGATGTACCGGAGTTTGTACATTCAAACAGCTTGACACTTAATTAGCATATATAGTTGTATAGCCTACATACATAAAAATCAGAGTGCATTGATGTTGAACCTATTTATGCGATTCAATATTGTTTGATTGATGAATAAACTTTCTTTTTCTATTCATGCAGTTTGTGCCAATTTTCTATTCAAGCTCTCTAACAAGTTCTTTTCAACAGCAACAAACAAATCTTGCGATTGAGCTAAAAATAATTTACGAGTATTTTAAAAGAGCCAACAGATCATTAAATTTATTTCAAAGACACTCGTAAAATAAACTAAAAGAGTTCGAATTAAGAGCAAATAAAGTTTGCTTTAAATTTCTTGGAATATTTTTTTATGGATGGGACGCATTTATTGGAACTCCCTTCCTTAAAGACATAGGACGATTGAAATTTGTTTAATTTAGCGGTTAACAAAATTCTTTCAATGTCTCTCTGTATGAATGCCTCAATCACGCAGGCCAAAAGGCTTAGAGCCAGTAAAATTTTACCTACGGATTTCGCTTATTATTTTGCATATGAAGTTTCTTTTAACATATTTCAAATCCTCATTTTAATTTGGAAACCATTTTTTAGAATCGCTTGGCTTTCCAAACAATAATCACTTCATTATTCTGCATCATGTCTTCGATTGATTGCAAGAAATGCAATTTCGTATAAACGGACACCATCTTACACAATAATCGCAACGTAGACACAGCCCAGGGGCATCAGTTGGAGCTGCACATTTTTTATATAAGTCTGTGGCCTAGTTGGCTCATTAACAGCAAGTTAGCCTCTAGGTGTCTGGCTGATTACCAACACAAAAATCTTATCCTAGCGACAAGCGTGAGAAATTTCACAAAAACATCAATTACAGTGACGACAAGCAATAGCAACAATAGCAACAACAACAGCAGCAGCAGCAGCAACAACTCAACTGTTAACAAATTCACTCATTTAGCAATGAAACTAAATGTGTTGTTAGTGTCTGGCCAAGAGCTGAAATCATGAGGCGCACACCAAGTTGACAGGCAGCTCCTGAAAGACGTTGCTAAAGTCACCGAACTGCCCATTTTTGCATCCGCCAGCGGCATATCGAGAAGACGTCGGCCAACAACACACACATTTCATGTCGTTATTGTTGTTGTTGGTGTTGTTGTTGCTGTTGCAGTTGTTGGTGCTGGTGTTGGTGTTGCATTTGGTGCTCGTGTTGCAGTCGTAGGCTGTTGCGTTTTACCATTTTCAGCACGTAATCGTAACCAACGATCAATCAAAGCACAATGCTTGTCTCAGCCGGAAGGGTTGAGGGCGTCAGACGCACGAAGATAGCTCCGCACCATGGCAAAGAAAATAGAAACTATTATCCAAATATAAAACAAATATTGACAATTTCTAATTACTAACAATATTTAATTACCTAATGGACAAATGATGCTTAATTGAAAGCAGTCAGTTTGATAAAGAAGATCTGATGAAAAAGATCTGATGAAATTATCTGTAGAAGAATCTTTAGTAGATTAATTATTAATTAATTAAATATTAATAACATTTGA